TTCAGGAAAAAAACAGATCAAGGAAAAGACTTTTATCATCTAAATACCTCACATCTCAAGATGGATTGCTTCATCAACTATATTAGGGATGTCTGAGAGTTTTGGAGGGATCACAGGGTTCGTTGTAATGATGATATCAAATGGTTCAACAACGGTCTGGCTTTCCTAGGCCGTAAATGCAATGAATATTCTAAATTAATAGGAAAACAAAAACATGCAAAAGAAACTGACTTACAAAACAAAATTTTAGAATTACAAAACAAGGAGAAAAAAGCTGAAGACCAAGCTGTCCCGGAAAAAATATCTGAGGAACTTCAAGAATTAGAGACACAACTTTTGTCCGTGATGGAATATCGATGGCAAGGACTAAGAATCAGAGGCAAGCTCAATGTGCAAAATATAGAAGACTCAATGGATGCGCGGTTTTTTGCCATGGCTAGGGCCAGAACAGAAAGAACGATCATTGAAGCCTTCAAGGACCCAACAGACCCCAAGATGAACCTGGCCACATCGACACCTGCATGCTCGAAAATAGCAAGGGATTATTTTAAAGCCCTCTTCACCTCACAAAATAGTCACATTTCTAGAAATCAGCGTATCCTTGAGATTGAGGAATTCCTTCAGCCATTAAATAAATCTTTGTCAGTGGAACAAAAAGAATTGATGGACAAACCTCTAACAAAAAAAAAAGTTTGGAAGACTCTCTTAATAATAGAAGAGGATAAGTCCCCGGGTATTGATGGATTTCCAAAAGAATTATGGGAGTCGACATGGGATTTTATGTCAGAAGATCTAATGGAATACTATAAGGCAGTATGGGAATCGGGTGAAATGGGGGAATTTGTAGGTCAAGGGGTACTGCTGTACAAAAAAGGGGATAAAGCAAACATAAGGAATTATCGTCCAATAACCCTTCTTACAGTGGTTTATAAAATCATAGCGAAAACACTGGCGGATCGTATGACTACAATAATTCCTGAAATCATCCACCCATCCCAAACAGGTTTCATAACAGGAAGAAACATTCAGGACAATATTCTTTTAGTGAATGAACTCCTGAAAATATTTCGTCAATCTAAACATAATGCCGCTTTCATTTTCATAGATTTTGAAAAAACATATGATCATGTCGATTGGATCTTTTTGGATAAATGCCTGGAAAAGATGAATTTTGGTCCCAACCTCAGAAGATGGGTGAAAATTTTGCATAGTAATGCTACTACAAGGGTCATGGTCAATAATAATGTAACACCCCCCATCCCACTAGAAAGATCAGTTAGACAAGGGGATCCTCTAGCCCCTTTTCTTTTTGTCTTTACCATGGAGGCACTTGCGGCAAATTTGAGGCATCATAAGGATATTAGACATATACAGGTTACAAGTATACCAGAGGAGGCAATTCCAATTTGTTCTCTTTTTGCTGATGACCTATCACTTATGGTTGATGCTTCTGAGGAAAATATGGCAAAAATCCAAAACTTGATGGAAAAATTTTGTTGTCTCTCATATATGAAAATCAATTGGGGTAGCCAAACAACAGGTTGGTGGATTCATCATCAAGGAGGAAGAGCCCCTGAATTGCTAAAAATAAAGTGGTTGTCCCTAGATACTCCTATTAGGTTATTGGGGATTTCCCTTTCTGCTGAAGGCAAGTCAAAAAATCATAATGAATGGATCTCACAACCTGCTCAGGCTAAAATGGAAAAGTGGAAAGGTAAGCACACATCCATTTTCGGACGTTCGATGATAATTAACAATGCAATCCTTGCATCTATATGGTATAAATCAGGAATTTTGTCTTTGGATAATAGTTCTTTGAAATCTCTACAAAGACAACTAACTGTTTTTCTATGGAGAGACAATCACGAATATAACAATGTAATCAATAGAGTAGCATGGCAGTCTATCATCCAACCAAAAGTGGGGGGAGGCCTGGGGATTCTAGATCCTTTGACCCAGGTCAAAGCTCTTTCAATTCAATGGTTTCAAAGGTTATTGTTCATCCCTCACACTCCATGGTCATTTTTAGCCTTGGAACAAATCAGGCGCCTAGCTCCCATAACTCCTGAAGAAATTGATCCCCTGACATGGTTAGAAAATCGCTCTTGGTCTATTCCTAGGGGAAGTTCTAA